TATATATCCGACGAAACAGTTTGTCACAGCCCCTCGTTTGTTGCCCTCTTCTCTCTCTCTGCCTACAGTTTACCGGGCAGTTCTGTTTGTGACGATATATATATATATATACCTGATGAGTCGGTGAAACTCCGACGAAATAGTTTGTCACAGCCCCTCGTTTGTTGTCCTCTTCTCTCTCTCTGCCTACGGTTTACCGGGAAGTTCTGTTTGTGACGATATATATATATATATATACAGAGTTGCCAGGTCGAACGTACGGAGGCCCCTAAGCTGACCCCCGAACGTTCGGGCGTTCGGGTCCCCGTATGGGGCCCGAACTCAAAGGGGTTCGGACCCCACAAAAAATTATTTCCGTACCTAAAAATTATTATTTTTTTCTGATTTGTTTTTTTTTTAGTTCTCTGTTATGTAAGCAACCTGTCTCTCAATTTTGAAGTCATTCTGTGAAGCAAAAAAATAATGAAAAATCGGCAAAGATGGTGGTGTCAAAACATGCTTTCCCACTTACTAATTTGTTTTTTTTTTCTTTTCACTTTTTGTTTTCCCTTTATTTCGGGGCCTGAAAAAAAATATTATTTTTTCAAAGTTTATTTGTAGGTTCTCTATGATGTAAGATACAGATGTATAAAATTTCATGGCATTTGACAAAGCCAAAAAAAAAAAAAAAAAATCATCAAAGATGGCGGTGTCAAAAACTTGCTCGCCCACGCAATAATTTCATTATCGTTTTATTTTTTCTTATTTTCATTAATATTATTTATTTTTCGTATTTGATTTTTATTTCAAATTTGGTAAGAAATTTGGATGTACTGTTGAGGCAAATGTTGTTTGGTTTATTCGTCTACATGACATAGTTTTTTTTCAGAATTTTTGAAAACCTTGTTTTTTTTTTTGTTTTTTTTTTTTTTTGGTTCCGCGTTCGGTCGAACGTCCGAACACGTCGAGAGGGGTTCCCAAACGTTCGGGCGTTCGGGTTCGGGTGTTCGGCGCGTCCTGAACGCCGGCAACCCTATATATATATATATATACACACTCATATGATTTAAGGTATACAAGTTGACTAAAAAAATACAATATCATGCATTGCTTTCAAAGCAAATGAAATTTTAAAAATCCCTTTCATTTTAAAATAAAAATAGCAGAGTTGAAAGAGCACAGTCGTTTGACAAAAGTTCAAAGATAAGAGATATTTTATTGCACCTTGTAGATATAATAAGCTCATAAAACCCCTACAACCATAAAAAAACAAATTTCCCATAAATTTTTTCACTTTTCATTGCATAGAATTATCGTTGCACACTATGCATAATGTTTACATATATTATGTCCGAAACTATATTGGATTTACCAATATCTACCATTGATAGAGTACTTCATCAATCTTCGTAAGGGCAATACACATACTGATAACTAAGTGTTTCTCTGGTACATTTACATTTCCCTTAAAAATGTTGCAATATTGGTTGAGTATAACATACTTCTATTTGCTTATACGTCATTCACTACAGATAAAAATGCAAGCAACATATCTCATTTCTTTACATATTTTATTTTAATTTATTTTTATTATTCACTTTATTGATTTTGTTTCAGCGTTGTGAGTCATTTGTGTTTCTTGAAAATACATTAGTATCACCTATAATAACTATTTGTTTTAAAGTGATGCAAAATTTCGACACGCCGGACAATTTTTACACACGAATCATCATGTATTTGATCAAATTGATCATTACGTTTTTACACTCTCCATACTTCCATTACATGATTGAAAATTTGTTTATCGATAATGTGTTTCTTCTTATATACTTTATCCTACAGTATTTGCTCAAACAAGTCATCTGTTTCGTCTTCTGCATTCGTATCAATGACATTCAAATTATCGTCCACGGATGTCTCCCTTACCATATGCAGTCCGCCCTCCCAAGATCCCGGACGACTTGGGTTTCCTACATAAGTTAGTAGTCTTGTCGTTTATGAATATGGTATAAATTGTTTCATATATCCACCGATTTATTTCAAACCTTTAACTCGGTAAAAACTCTCTCCTTACAACTGGACCTCCTTTTTTTTTTTGAATATTTTCTTTGTTGTGATTTTTATCTGCCAGTAAGTTTGGTATTTGACAAGTCATGTTTAGTTGAAAAATAAGTTTAGTAATATAGGATTAAGAACATTATAAGAAAGTATGAAAATATAATTTATAAATGGCTATATAACTTGCTTTGATTTTCTCTGGTAAGATAAAAAAAAAGTAACTTCGAGGCACTCACGAAAACTGTTTGAGAATAAACTTTAGACATTTTTCGTAAATATAACACAATCTCACGTTACCCTAGTGAACAAAAAACCTATCTTATATATATTCGAAATTTTCATGTTTTTTGCCTGAAGTGCATTTTCAAACTCAAACAGTGACTCCCCCGCAGTTTTTCCAAAGCAAAAGCATGATACTTTTGTGTTATCCCCTTTCAATTTTGCCTTTTTACTCACTCTTTGTCTCTCTGGTATAACAAAACAACTCGCATCATTTTGGGTGGGGGTTGTCTACTCTGTTTCTCTCTGTAGAAGATTCTAACACACATTAGTACAATTTGCCCTTTCTCATCCATTTCACATTTTTCATTCACTTTCTCTTCTTCTTTCAACTTCAAAGGCACGATAGAACAACCTGTACCCTCCTTTGCCTTGCTCTCTTTTTAGTTTGAATTGATAACTAAGTCTTCTTCCTCCCCTTTTCTTTTTGTAACACCTCCACTGCATGGCCACACACACCTACCACTCCTCCCCCCTCTGTACAAAACACACATGCACCTGTGCGTGCCTACGCACATGCATGGACTAATCACATCTTTGCACATGGATGCACACATCCACCCTCCAGACTCAACAGACATACATACCATGCCTATGCACTTTCTAAATACATCCGTGCACACACCCAAACATCTGGTTTTGCGAGCAGCCACGACGCGCCCTTTGAAAATTTTGGCGGGCCGCGTGGTGCTATGGAGGTCCAGTGCAAGCCCTGCCCTTGGTGAAAAAACATTACAGTATAGCTGCCGATGTCCAAAATGTCATGTGATCCAGCGGCCTAACTCAGTTGGTAAGGCTCGCAAGTGGCATTCAAGAGGTCGTGGGTTCAATCCCCATTGGCCTCATGTACCTTCCTGGGCATGCTTGGCGCCCGCCACCTAGAGATAGACCACTGGATCCCCCGATTGCCATTTAGCAGAGTCTGCTGATGTTCATAGGGGAGGGGACCTGAGGGGAGGCACAGGGATTGGTCCTGTTGGCATGGTCCCTGATGCTTCCCCCGATTGGCACTTAGCAGAGTCTGCTGATGTTCATAGGGGAGGGGACCTGAGGGGAGGCACAGGGATTGGTCCTGTTGGCATGGTCCCTGATGCTACTGGCTGTCCCCTAGCCGGTATCGCCCACCTGCAGGTCGGGAGCAGCCCCCGCATGTTCTCCCGTGAACATGGTTCTGGCTGCTACGGGGTTCCCCGTATGCCTACAATTAGGAGTAGTGGTACGTAGGTAGTGTGGGGTGAAATTGAGAGAAGAATATAGCTTTGAAAAAACAAAAAACAAAAAAACAAAACAAAACAAAGTGGGACCGTGATCTCTGCGGCTGGATACGAACTGACAGCCCTGGTTCAAGTCCCCACTACCAGCATTGAGTTTCCTCAACGTCCGTATCTGGACGGCGCCGTTGAGGACACCCAATGCGATTCTCTGCACCTCCCCATAAACACATCCAGATTCGGGAGTTGAGGATTTCAAGGCTGCTTGTGGGACTTGGGCCGAGGACGCCAAAAAGAGGACCCTGACCTCAGAGCCTCTGGAGTTTCAGCCCAGGGCAAAGGGGAGGCTCGGAATAGTAGGCCCCCCCCCACAAAAAAAATTAAAAAAAAAAAAGGAGGCCCGGCCACAGGGTTGGGTGGGGGGTTCTTCTCCCAGCCGAGCGGGGAGCGGGGAGCGTGGAGGCAGACCTACCGGAGTAAGGAGCAGGTCAAGCTCGCGACTCAGGTAGGGGTAGTAGGACGAATGGGGTGACAGGCCGAAGGGGCCAACAACAACGGGCACCCTGGGCGAGGGGTCATCCTCTGGCAGTCGGGGGTAGAAGGTTGGCCTGGCGATGGCACGGCTCGGCAGGGCACAGCACAGCCGCCACGCACAGGAAGGCTACCGGTAGGACCAAGGTGGGGATGCGAAGGGGGGGCGGCGGCACACGACCGTCGTGCGGCCATAGCGTGGTGCGGCCAGAGCGTGTTGTGGAAAGCACTTCAATTATACCGTGTCATATGTTTCCGGTTCTGCTACTACTGAGTTGGGGGAGTAGTGTTAGTATGCCTCAATGAACGCTTAGTGGTTCGCGGATCGGATCGTGAGGTGGCTTCGTGTTCTCCTTCTTGGTTTCATCACAGAAGTTCCATCATCTCCTTCATATTGTAGGGGAAAAGAGCCAGATTTTGTAGGAGGAAGAGGAGGAAAAGAAAGAAGAGGAAGAGGAGGAAGAAGAGGAAGAGGAGGAAGAGGAGGAAGAAGAGGAGGAAGAGGAGGAAGAGGAGGACGAGGAGGAAGAGGAGAAGGAGAAGGAGGGAGGAAGGAAGAGGAGGAAGAGGAGAAGGAGAAGGAGGAGGAGGAGAAGGAGAAGCAGGAGTTTGGTGAGGAGGAGGGCAGGCTATAAGGTGGGAAAACAAGAGAGGGGAAGATGGATCCGAGTTTCAAGTTTGATGCCGGGGCATTGGGTGTCCTTCCTGAGACTCAAGCGCCGTGGGAGTTTTCTGGCCCTGCCATTACTCCCTGCGAAGACCGATCGCGAACGCCCACGACAACCGTTGATCAGAAGATCCGACGGATTAACATGACGAAGCAGTCAGTCGTCGGGAACAAGAAGAAGGAAGGAGGTGCAGTTGCAAAGAAGAAATCGGTGGGCGGGAAACCTTCTGGCGATCGTAGCCGGCGGGAAAGGAGTGATGACGAAGATGATGAGGAGGAAGATAGCGATGGCGGCGCAAGTGAAGACGACGAAGAAGATGGCGATGGCGGTGCGAGTGAGGACTGCGAAGAAGATGGAGTTGCTCGACGTGGGACGGCCATTGAAGAGGGAGAGAGAGAGGAAGAGGAGGAGGAGGAGGAGGAGGAAGATGACGACGAAGAGGATGAGCGTCTGTCAGAGGACGGGAATTGGGACGATCATGCCGACGAGGAGGAGGAGGAGGAGGAGGAGGAGGAGGAGGAGAAAGAGGAGGAGCAGAAGAAAGCACGCTTGAATGGCAGGATGGCAAATGGAAAAGGAAAGGGAAAGGGAAGAAGGAATGGCGATGGTGGAAGTGATGGAGATGAAGATCGAACGATTGGCGGGAGTCAGGAAGAAGACACTTCAGATGCGGAATCGTCGGGGTCGGGATCTGAGTCGGAATCGGAGCCGGAGTCGGAAGATGAGAAGGAGGGTTCTCAGAAAAAGGACCTCGGAAAGTCTTCGCGTGCGGTAAGGGTCATTTTGTTCATTTACCCGTTTTGCCTGCAACCCCCCCCTCTCTCTCTCTCTCTCTCTCTCCCCCTTCTTCGTTCTTCCCCCTCGCCCCATGTTTGTCTTCTTTTTTCGTTTCCTTTTGGAAAGGGGTAGCCCCCCTAATACTGTATTATAGGAGGGCGTATTCATCTGTTCCATCAGGATTCGAACTCATGAGCTGATTACTGAGAATTACATGTGTGGGCCCTTCAGCGACATGGACTGGGTAAACGCCACCTCTCTCTCTCTCTCTCTCTCTCTCTCGCTCCCTTTCTCTCTCTGCGGACAACGAGTACCGCACGTAAGACTGATGCCAGCAAACGATGAAGGGAGCGAGAGAGCGAGCGAGCGAGCGAGAGAGAGAGAGAGAGAGAGAGAGAGAGAGAGAGAGAGAGAGAGAGAGAGAGAGAGAGAGAGAGAGAGAGAGAGGGAGCCAGCAAACGATGATGGGGGAGAGATTCGCCCCCTTTCTTTCTTTCGTCTCTCTCTCTCTCTCCCCCCCCCCCCTTCCTCTCTCTGTGTCTCTCTTTCGCTCTCCCTTCCTCTCTCTCTCTCTCTGTGTCTTACGTGCGGTACTCGTTGTCCGCGAAAGCCTGATGTCAGCAACCCAACCGTTTGGAACCATTTGGAACCGTTTGGAACCATTTTATTTAATGCAGTTTTTCATCTATTACTAGTATTTATTAGTCAGTACTGTAATGGATGTATTTATTTAGATTTTTTTTTTGCAAATTTAAATTTCTATTCTTCGGATTTGACGGAACGGTGCTGTCTGTCCTCCTTCCCTACCTTTTTCCCCCGAATACAACGTACGGTCATTAGAGCTGTATTTGGGGTATCGTCCAGTCTAAATACAGCTATAATGACCGTACGTTGTATTTGGGGGAAGAAGGCTAAGCTTCTCTAAGAGAATTCTGAGAAGTTTGGGAAGGAGGAAGAAGAGGAGGAGGAGGAGGAGAAGGAGAAGGAGAAGGCATTATCCCTAAAATGGGGCCAGCCGTGAATGATCCCTGAATCAGCCTTGAATTTTCTCCTCTTGAATTTTCCCCTCGTATAACACCCTTGTGCAGCGAGTTTCAGTGTCTGCAATCCCTCTCTCTCTCTCTCTCTCTCTCTCTGAGAGAAGCTTGGGAAGGAGGAAGAAGAGGAGGAGTAGGAGAAGAAGGAATTATCCCTGAAATGGCCCAAGGCGTGAATGATCCCTGAATCATCCCCTCTTACCCTTTTCCTGACACCCTTGTGCAGTGAGCTTCAGTGCCTCGCTCCACTACGCACCAAATGTGCAAAATGGGAATGAATCTTCGGCTAGAACATGGAAAGATACGTCGCCGTTTTTTCTGTCTTTTGTGCATGGGGCTAGTAGGAGCGAGGCCCTAACTTGGTCTTGGTTGTGAATCCAATCACAGCAATCTGAAATGTCCATGCGTTTTGCTTTCCTTTTTTTTTCATTTTTACCCGCCGACACGTGGCTTCTTTTCCTTTTGGAAAAAGGAAACTTTCCTTATTTAGTCGTTTAGAGCATTGGAGCCTGAAGAGGCTTTTCAGTCTAGTGGCCGTATGAAAATGTCGTCTTTTGGAGAGCGTAACCATCATCCCCCGAATACAACGCACCCTCATTATGACTGTACTGGACCGGAAATATAGCTTGTATGCGTTGATGATGATTGGGTTTTGTCGTTTTCGGAGGAAGACGGGCAATAGTTGTCCCAGGAAGAGGAGGAGGAGGAGGAGGAGGAGGAGGAGGAGGTAGAGAGGAGGAGGTAGAGAGGAGGAGGAGGTAGAGGAGGAGGAGGAGGTAGAGATGAGGAGGTAGAGGAGGAGTAGGTTATGACTGTACCGGACCGGAAAGATAGCTTGTATGCATTGATGATGATAGGGGTTCGTTGTGTTCGGGCGAAGACGGGAAGTAGTATGTCGCAGGAAGAAGAGGAGGAGGAGGAAGAGGAGGAGGAGGAGGTAGAGGAGGAGGTAGAGGAGGAGGAAGAAGAGGAGGAGGAGGAGGAGGAGGAGGAGGAGGTAGAAAGTGGAGGGAGAAGAGGAAGAGGAGGATCCTCAATGTCCCGTTTCTTTGTCACTCATTCCCTGTTGATAACCGGCTCCACGTGGCTGCTTGAAGACATTTCTCTGTCTGTACGTTCTGTGGTTGTCCGCTGCTCGTCTGTACCTGACCGGAAAGTCCTCTTCGTACGGACGAATCGAACAAGGACGACGACTAACCAACTTAGAACGACCGATTAGGAATTAGGACGGCGACCAACTTTGGACGACCAAATGAAGTATCAATTGGACGACCGAATTAAGCAAATCAATTATGAACTTGGTCGTCCTTTCTGTGAAGATCAATGCCGTTCGGTCGAAAGATTAATTCGATTCGGTGCTCCAGAAAATGGGTACGATCATCTGTATGGCTAAGTTATTCAATTTTTCATTTTTTTTTTTTTTTGGGATTCGATGATTCAGAGTTTAAAATTTATGATCGACTTTCGTGGGCGAATATTCCCCTCCTTCCCCCCCCCGGGTTCCCTCGCCCCCCCGGGTTCCCCCGCCCCCCCGGGTTCCCCCCTCCCTCCTTGCATCTCTTTTTCAACTGTTGTTCTAAACTTTTTCCTATTTTTTGGGTAATGCGTTAGTCCTCCATTGCGTATTTTTTTGAGGAGAAATAATTATTCAAAATGTGGTATATTTTTGGAGTGCCTAAGTCTTTGTTTCTCGACATCCTGAGATTTTTGTTTTTTTCTTGTTTTTTATTGGTCACTTTTCTAATCATCTGCCTCTTATTCCTGCTTGGGTCGATTCATTTTGAAATTTTGAGGCTTCAAATTTGCCGCCCGCGTTGCCTGACTGTTATGAGCCCACCCCCATTATCGTCTAACGCCATAAAGGGATGCCACGTGTACCTTAAAACGCTTTGCGACCTACATTGTTTTTTTTTTAATGATGTGCAATCCGCGACAGAATTTGCAGACAGGCCCGCAAAGCGACAAAACAATTTGGGGAAAAAAAAATCGAGTTCACTCAACTGGGGGCAACTGACGAAAACTGAAGAAATGATAATATCTTTCGAGTCGAGATTTTCGTAATCCCATTGGGATGAATGCATGAATGAATGAATGAATGAATGAATGAATGAATCAATCAATCAATCAATTGATTAATCCACCCATCTATTCCATTGGAATCAATCAATCAAGCAATCAGCCAACCAATCGAACCACTACTCGATGAATCTAGTAAGTTGATTAATACACCCATCTATCGATTGAGCATCCCGTCGAGGATCAACCAATCAACCAATTAACCAATCAACCAATCAATCAACCAACCAACCAATCAATCAACCAATCAACCAATCAATCAACCAATCAATCAATCAATCAATCAATCAATCAATCAATCAATCAAATCAATCAATCAAATCAATCAAATCGATCTAGCCAAATAATCAATCAATCAATCAATCAATCGATCGATTAGTCAATCGATTCATTAATCCACCCATCTATCCATTGAGCATCCCATTGGAATCAATCCATCAGTCAATCAAGCAATCATTTTTTTTTTGGTGATTTTCGTAATCCCATCATCTACTTATTGACCAAGGTTCAGTTCGATAGGAACCCAGGAGCAATCCAATCCGTCAATCATCAAATCTATATTAGCCCCATCAGTCCTCTATCCATCAATCAATGAACCCTCTCCCCCCCCCCCCCCCCCCCCCCCCCCCCCCCCCCCCCCCCCCCCCCCCCCCCCCCCCCCCGGTACCCCCTAGCCTATTTTTTTCCCATGCTCAATTTTGCCCGCCCCTGGCTTACGGACAGTTGCTATAGGAATCGGGGCCGACGTTGGCAGCCATATGCGTCCTCAGTTTTTTTTTCCCTTTCGTTTTTTCCTTATACGGCCTCACCTACCGTACATCAAGGCTACATGCATCAATATTCCTTACCCCCCCCCCCCCCCCCTGGAGAAGATCGAGAGGGAAAATTGAAAAGTGTGGGCGAAATGAGCAAGTTCAGTATGTTGTGCGCAGCTTCCCAGGGCCTTCTCAACCCCAAACCTGACCGTCGAACCTGTGAATCCCCTTTTCTGACAGCAGTGCCCCTGTTAAAGCCCTAGTACCTCCCGCCCCCCCCCCCCCCCCCCCCCCCCCCAAGGCTGCCGGACTTGCACTGCGCGCCAAGCTTTTGGCCGAACAGCCATGGCGGTCCGGTGTCGCCGAGTCTGGGGCTACGGCCTGGCGATATCATCATGTGGAACTGACCGGAGGGGCCCCTCGTAATTCAGAAATAAAGTATTTTACTCATCTCGGATTCCAACGGAGTCTGAACTCAGGTCTGTATTTCAACAACACACAAAAAAAAAATAAAAATAAAAATCAAGTCAGTGGTGTACCAACTGTGCTAGACCAGTTGGTAGCCATGAGACTTTCCAAGTGTCCTGCCTGTTGAGATACAGACCTCAGTTCATGGCCACTGAACTGTTTGAAATACAGACCTGAGGTCAAGCTTGGTTGGAACAGGTTATGGCTACTGAGCTAGGTAGGCCTGCTAGGGCAGTTGGTAGCCATGAAGCTTTTTTTTTTTTTTTTTTTTTTTTTTAACCATGAAGCTTTGGACGTTGCTTGCCATGGAAAAGTCGTATGGGCCCCAAGCACTGCGCTCCAAGCTTTTTGCTGAACTGCGTGTACGGTGCATGGGGTGCCACGGCCCCCGGTATTGGGGGTTTAATATTCCAGTAATTAGTTCATCGGTTAATTAATTAATTAATAATTTAATATTAGTTAATAATTAATAAGTTAATAAATCGGGCCGTTGATTAATTAGTCGTCGTCCATTTATTAATTAACTGATTCGCTACTATCAATCAGATGTCACGTGGTCAAATTATATTGCCGATCCATGGAGCTCATCATAAAAATGATGCGTAACTAACGTAATCGACCATCGTCCTAATGATGATGGACGATCATGATTATTGTTTTTTTTTTTAATCGAATAATAATCTTTTAATCGCTCAATGATAATTTTAGTTTTTTAATCAGCGGCCATCATGAAGTAACTGCCATCATTAAGCTTATCCATACCTTATCCATTCAAGGATGATGGGCCCCATTGATGGGCGTTGGAGTAATTGACAAGGGACTATTAATTGTTCATCCCTACCTTATTGATTAGTATGCACTTACTTAATCATCTTTAATCACTTTATCTATCTATCTACCTATCTATCTATCTATCTATCTGTTCTATCTATCTATCTGTTCTATCTATCTATGTATCTATGTATCTATGTATCTATGTATGTATCTATCTATCTATCTATCTATCTGTTCTATCTATCTATCTATCTATCTATCTGTTCTATCTATCTATCTATCTATCTATCTATCTATCTATCTATCTATCTGTTCTATCATAAAAGGATGAATGGATTAATGAATGGAAATGAATTAGCGAGCAATCAATCATATCCGTAAAATCATCAATCGTCACGGTGGCTATAGCAACTCGATGCAATGAATAACCGTGATCGATGGACAATAGTCATCAATCATCAATCATGGTCGTTGTGATCTGCATCGCGTGCGTGATTGCTACCCTTATCCATTTCATCTTCCCTCTGCATCATCCAATCATCGTCTTACCCATCGCCCTTGACATCATCCTTATTGGTTATCATCCTTCTTGTTATCCTTAGCCATTTTGCCCATCACCATCATCCTTTTACTAATAATAACCATATCATCGTCCTTACCCGTCACCCTCATCGATAATCCTTGTCGTTATCTTCAGCATTCTTCTGAACATTCTTCTGAACATTCTCCTGAGAATAAGAATGTTCCCCTGAACATTCTCCTCATCATTATTACCAGCCACCATCGTCCATCAATCCTTTGTCATTATCATTTACAACAGTCAATAATGACCATGTCATCATCCGTACGCATTACCTCATCGATCATCCTTGTCGTTATCTTCAGCATTCTTCTGAACATTCTCCTGAACATTATCACCAGCCACCACCGTCGGTCAATCTTTTATCATCATCATTTACAACAACCCATAATGCTATCACACATCACCTGCTACTGCTGCTACAGCTGCTGCTGCTGCTGATGATGATGATGAGAGTGATGGTGATGATGATGACCATGCTTCTTCTTTTTTCCCTTCCTCCCTTCTCGATTGTATGACGTGACCTTTCTCTCTTGGAATGTATGATGTGCATGCATTCTACCTATGCAAGCAAATCCTAGGCAACCATCGGGGTTTAGGGTTTTAGATGTTTTTTGCGGTCGATCATCGTGGTGGATGACGAGACGAAATATCATGATGATCAGGAGGGGCGGGGGGGTTTTGGGGGGGGAGGGGGGGGGGGGGGGGGAGGGGAGGAGACTAAAGGAGCAAGGCAAATGGAGGAGCAAACCGCCGGAGGGCAGCTTGCAGTCTAGATGCAGCGATAATGACCGTGCACTATTTGGGCGAAGACGGTAGTGGAAATATGGCGCCAAGGTGCTGAGGGATGGAAACGTATTTTATCCATTTTGCATGGACGACAGCTGGAGCGAGATGAGCAAGAATTTTACCGACGGTCATTATATAACTGCATTTGGGCCAACTTGCAGTCTAGATGTAGCGATAATGACAGTGCGTTCTATTTGGTGAAGACAGTAGCTGAAATATGCACCATGATTGTTGCAACGCTTGTCGTCGTTCCAATTGCCAAATGGCAGTTCAGGGGGAGGGCAATGCAAAATAATTTTTCACAATCTAAAAGAGAAGAAGACGTCCAAGAACTGGCAAGAAGTATATTTCGTGCCAAGGAAGCGGACTACTCTTAAGATGGCGATCGGTTGGGTACATAATTGAGGATGGAAAGACGGAGGGGAGAGGAAGGGAGGAGGGGGGGGGGGGGAGAGGAAGGGAACGTGCAAGATCTAGGCTAATGTTTGGTGGAATAACTTTAGAACCTTCCTTTTTGGGAAACAGATTTGTGTGTGTGTGTGGGGGGGGGGAGAGGAAGGGAATTAATTGGAGGACTTCTTTAGAGGGGGATGATATTTGGGGATAGGTGAGGAAAAAGGAGCTCACAACAACATCATTATCTGTAATTAGTAATTATGGAGGCATGGTTTTCTATTGGTGTTGTGTTCTGACCTGGCCTGCTGTACATGGATTTGATCTCATGATCTTGTTGGTCCCGTGTTTGGTTTCTTGTTGTTGTCCTGCTCTTTTCTTTCTTGGCGTCTCTGTGCGCATAACGCAGAGCAAGAAAAAGGAGGGAGGTGTTGTGCAGAAGGAAGCGAAAAAGACGCCGGAGGGAGCTCAGGATGCCAAAAGTTTCTTCGCAGCGTCTGAGGGCGCTTCGTTCTCAGCGCGCTCGTTCCTGGAGTTGAATTTGTCAAGGCCGCTGATTAGGGCTTGCGAAGCTCTGGGCTATGAGCGCCCAACGCCAATTCAGGTGCGCAGTCGTTGGTTGATACTGGTTGGAATTCTGTGCAATGCAATAGCAAAAAAGTAATCGAAAAACTCCCTACCGTCTTCACTTGAATACAACAACATATGGTCATTATAGCTGAATTTGGGGCAACTTCGAGTCTAGATACAGCGACGATGATCGTACGTTGTATTCGGGTGAGAAGAGGGTAGGTTACCAGGGGGTGGCCAGCCAGGCCCCCGGGCACGGGTCGGTCGATCGTCCAGTGGCTCGGGGTGCTCCAGGCATGTAAAACTCCAGGAGTTCTTTTTTTTCCTTTTTTTTTTTTTTCATCGATGGGGCTTTTCTGTTTTTCAGTGTTGTGCGTTGGTTGGTTTGGGGGGGGGGGTATGGTGGTTWTAAATGGGGCTTAAAGGAGCTTAAAGGGTGATGCCTTAGGTTGATTTTTTGAACTTCCCCTTTTACCTTCGATTCACTGAGAAAATCTATGCGAAAAAAAATTCCTGTCTTTTTCTTTCACTGAGGATTTTTAATTCGTTGTGTACGTTTTACGGCTTTGATGGGATGGGAAATGAAGTGATGGATGCAATGTGTCTTGTGTGAAAAAAATTGATTGACGAAAACGCTTGTTGTTTATGCTGCAGGCTGCGTGTATTCCGCTCGCGCTGACAGGGAGAGACATCTGTGGAAGTGCCATTACCGGATCCGGAAAGGTGAGCGCTTTCTGCTTGCACTGTCGTTGTTGGTGTCTGATTATCCTCTCTTATCTCGCCCAGCTCAGAGCGATTGATTACATAATCGAGCAAAGAAGGAAAGAAAACTTATGCTCCGTGAGGTTTCAGTAAGCTAGAGCAATCAATGAATTCAATCCCACCGGGCCATCGTCAATTTAAATTCCCATTTGCTAAGGGTTCAGTCTAGATAAGAGCTCGGATGGTTGGATTTGGCCGGCGGCGTATTGTACTTTCCTAAATGTATCTGACTGCAATTACGGCCAGACCTAGATGAATCTGACCGGAATGACGTCTAGAGCGTAGTCGAAAAGTCTTAGTTTATGTATGCCCAATCTCTCTTGTCAGGAAAGACTTTTGAGAAAAAGTGTGTTAGCAGTGGAAACAGTGCTGTGGCCACATCTTGCTTAGAATGTGGTTGTTCCAAACAAAGGTTTAAACCACCAGTACTTCCTTTAAAAAAAGAATTGTGCCCGTATACAAGCCACAATTTTAGGAAATGTACGGGCCACTACAGGAGCGCCCAAATTCATCCGACGAGAAACGTTTCTACTCTATTTTTTTCGGCGACCAATAGCTGGGCCAAGTACTGGTCTTTTGACCCTTTTTAACTGCCACTACCTTTCGCAGGCAACGCCGAGTATCGGTAATGTAACATTCCGAGCTCTTCGGATGAACAGTGCTACCGGACCACAATGGCTGGTGGCGCCAGCCAAAAGAAAACGGAAAGGAAAAAAAAAAACCTGCCGTCCTGGCGCGTCAGCAAAGTTTGGCATGCATGCAATTCTTTTCTGCCTCGGCGAAAAGAGGCGCGGAGGTAGTGGTGGTTCAAGTTTTCAACTGTGTCATTTGGAGCAGAGAGATGTCTCGGTCGGATTTACCACGGTTATTGCCATCTGGTGCCGTGGGCGGTGTCTTTGATATGGCTTGGCAAGTTTTCTTTTTCTTTCTCTTGTTCTCTCTTGTTGTTTGTTTCTGCCAACTGAAATGCTGTTTTAGATGGGCAGTTGTGCTCTCAAAAGGGTGTGTCTTGTCCTGTGATAAGGGTGACTTCCCTTTCTTACCCCTTTCTTCACGTTGAGCCAGGGTGGCTCTCAAAGGCTGAGCACATCAAAGACATTGTCTTCCTCATAAGGGTGGCTTTCCTTATCACGCCAAAGCCACCCGTACCCCTTGAACTCCCCGTCGTGCATGCACTGCGGTCCATGATAACCTCTCTAAGGAAGACAATGTCTTTGACGTGCTCAGCCAAAAAAGCAAGCAGGCAATGTGCATCGCTCTCCACTTCGCCGTTCTTCACGTTGCCACGGTTTCTCTGAAGCTCTCCTCAAATACATAGAGCTCCTGCTGTTGTGCAGTGCAGGCAGGAGCTTTTGAGGGTGGGGAAGGGGAGGGAGGGGGGTTGGTTATGTATGTTTGAGGGCAGTTTGACTCTGCAGTTCGGGCAGTTGGGTGGTTCGGGGGTTGTGAAATAATGACAGTGTGAGCACACTTGCTCATTCTCTGCTCACACTTGCTCATTATCTGCACAATAACTTACATGTTTTGTTTTTTGCTGGTAATGAATGAATGAATGAATGGTCTTGGGATTTCATGCATCCGAACGAAGTGAAGACTGCAACCTCTCGGTCCTCTGTCTATTTTAAGATTAAGCTTAATAGATGAGGGGAGCCCTAGCCTTATAATGTGGAGAGATCGCAGAAGCGATTAATGACAGTGTGAGCACACGTGCTCATTCTCTGCACAAGAACTTACATGTTTTGTTGTTTGCTGGCAATCAATGAATGACCTTGGGAGTTCATGCGTCCGAACGAAGTCAAGACTGCAACCTCTCGACCCTCTGTTGATTTTAAGATTAAGCTAATGGATGAGGTGAACCCTACCCTTATGATGTGAAGAGATTGCAGAAGCGATTGAGAGCTTATTGGAACTTAAAGCGAAGAGCTGATAGAAGAGAGAGGGAAGAACAAATGTGGAGACTGAAGAAGTGAAGCAGCAGAAATGACGACAACTGATAAGTCTGTTGTATAGTCAATCGGTACTCGAGGAGAAATTTTTGGAAAGATCACAAATATGGATGCTTTTTGGATTTCTTCTTCTAGTATCTGTACTGCCTGAACAAAGCAGGGAGGTAAACGAAGAGCTATGGAAACATTTTGGAAGAGCAACAGAGTCCCTTCATTTCATTATTTATTTGAGAAGGGTCCTGGTCTCTAGCTAGCTTTGGTGTTATGGTAGCTGAAATCTCTTTGCAGAAAAAAAAGGAGCATGGGTGCCGAGATGGCCAAGTGTGAACCCAGTTTTTGTGGCTCAATGGTGCACATTTGTAGCTGTTATTAAACAAATTACGAGTTCGAGTCTTGAAAAGATTAGATGAATACAATAATGTTAGGTGCTACACTCCCCTTCCTCCCCTTCCTCCCCTTCCTCCCCTTCCTCCCTCCCCTTCCTCCCTCCCGTTCCTCCCGTTCCTCCCCTTCCTCCCGTTCCTCCCTTTCCTCCCCTTCTCTTTTTCCTTCTTAAGGTGACAAGTGTCAGGAATATTGAGAGCGCATGCATTTTTTTTTTTTTTTCCGCTGATGGTGTGTCGAGAAATGTGCTGAGCTTGCAATCAAAGAAGTTGAAAGAACCATAATCGGATGGGCGGGTCTTGTGGATTTGGAATTATTGTTGGTCTCGCAGACGGCGGCATTTGCACTGCCGGTGCTAGAGAGGCTTCTATTCCGACCTCGGAGGATCGCTGCGACGCGCGTGCTTGTGCTTACCCCAACCCGTGAGCTGGCAGTGCAGTATGGTCATGGGCCCATTCCCAACCCCCTTTTTTTTTCTGTTTTTCCCTTTATATGTCCTTATCCTCCAGCTAATTATCATCATCATCATCATCATCTTTGTCGTTGTTGTTGCAATGGTTCCCTTCCCCTCCTCTGCCAGTGCCCTCTTTTCCTGATGGAAATCCTCTCCTCCTCCTCCTCTTCATCATCATCATTATCGTTGTCATTGTCGTTGTCGTTGTCATTGTTGGTTTCGTTGTCATGGTTCTCTTCCCCTCCTGTGCCACTGCCCTCTTTTCCTGAGGGGAATCCTGTCCTCCTGATTAGTTCATGAATGTCTCTTGAAATGCCCTTGATTACCAATATCATATGCCGACGTACCAGGACAAACACTGTGTGCATGCATTTAAAAAAAAAGTTTTTTTCCTTTTTTCATGCGTTTTTTGTTCAAATCAGGACAGTAGTTTTTTGTCATTCTTATTTAAACCACCAGTATGTGTCCCAGATCTCTTGTTCCCAGATCTCTTGTTCTGCCATCGCAGTGAACATGCAAAGTCCCTAGGGGATAGGCCTACCAAATTGAAAAGGCTGGTGGCGCCAGGCCGAAGGGGATGCGATGTTGCACCTGCGCCGGTTCGACAAAACTTGGGATGCATTAAAAAAATGTCACATAGGGAAGAAGTGGCTTGGACGTGCTGGTGGTTTAAGAGAACAAAACCAGTTGAACAATTTGTCGAACGAACTTAAAATAGTCTCACAGCAAATCGTATAACACGTGTATGCACTTGTGCCCTGCCCACCACCCTTACCCCTCTCGACAACCCTTTTTCCATGACTGTAGAGAACAGGAAGTTAGTTTCTTCCTCTTCTGTTGCCTTATGGTGGTGGGATGGCCAGTACGCTGGCAAGTAATTTTTTAGCATCTTTCAAGTCTTCATGCAGCTTGATAGAAAAATGCCTTTTCTTTAATTGGGAGCAAAGAATTGCATTTTGCGACTGCTCTATCCCAACCTATCAACGGGAGCAAGACACAATGGGTGAATTCGGGTCAGCCTGCAGTTCACGCAGACCATACGCATCATCTTCCATCTTCCATCTCTTCTAGCTTCCAGGTTTCATCATCCATCTTCCATCTTCCATCTTCCATGTGTCCAAATCATCCTGGCGGAACCTTGAACCATGCTACCATACCAACCCAGATGAAAATCTGTACGATATGGAGGTAGTGCGATCTCCAAATCTCCGGTTTTGCAGGGCAGGTCCGGAGGAAGTGGCGGTTTACGTTGCCAAGACCCGCCAGGTTCCGACTTTGTGTGGCAGCGGGGCTTCTGTGCTGTCAAATGCTTTAGTTGCGCAGCATCTGCTGCATGCCGATTGGGGTATGTGTCATTGCCTTTTTCCCTTTTTCTCTGCCTAACTGAATCTCCTGGGACTTGCAGATAGAGTACATATGCAGGAGATGAAGGGAGGTGGTTTCTATCGTTGGAGCTTCAAGGGGGCTGCTGTGCGGTCTTGTAACGTCATGGGGAAGGTGTAGGGTAACCATGGGAGGAAAAGGGAAAAGAAAAAGGTGCTCTCAGCGATCTCTACCATCGAGGATAATGTCGGCAAGTGCGTGACCAAAAAAAACAAACGATCGGGCCGGCAAGTGCCCGACCAAAGAAAACATATGATCGGGCTCTTGGTGCCGAAGCCTGATGTTCAGCTGGTCGGGTTGGGCAAAGGCAGGTTCAACAGAATAGGTTTAGGGGCAAGTGGTCACCTCAGCCAATACATCCACTCACTCTTTGGATAGGCACCTAACTCCAAGGCCAACATCCACCCCCCCCCCGCAAAAATGTGTCTAATCAATCAATAATAAGAAGAAGGATGAGAATGCGCGAAAGAACAAGAGCAAAATAAGAATAAAGGACATAATAAAGACAAACAAAACCATTCAGAGCTAGGCCCAATCAGTTATGAAGCACCAACGGGAGAGACCACTTTTCTCCGTCTCCTTCCCATGTATGTACTCCACCTGCAAAGTCTCGAGACATTCACTCAGGCAGAGAAAAAGGAAAAAGGCAATGCCACATGCTCCAGTTACCCTAGGCCTTCCCGAGGACGTTACAAGGACGTTTCAGGAAAGCAGCGGGGATAATAGCGGCGCGGCTTCCGTCTACCGCTGACCATAAGGCACCTGATAATGGTGTTTTGGGGGAATATGGTATTAGGTTGTGTTGTGTTCGGGGGAAGACAGTAGCTGTTTTCTCTGTGTGGGTTTCATCCATCGGGAAAGCCAGTGATGACCGTGGTGGTTTGGCGTGCTGTTTTTTTTTTTTCCCCCTGTGTATGTCCATGCATGAGTTTCTTAAGTATTAACTTTTTGGCAGTTGTGATGGTATGGATCACAAGCTATGTGGAGGCTCCCTTTCGTCCCTCCTTCCTTGCACACAGCTCGGGTTGTCATGCTGGTTTGTGATTGCGAGAGACCTTGCTCATTGCAAGTTTCAACAGGGATTAAGAACAGCCTTGGTGCTGCTTGTGTAGCGCTTGTATACTGCTTGGAAAGTTTTGCTGTTTTATTCCCCTGTTAGTCCTTCTCGTTTTACGCTTGGAGATAGAAGCAGTGTATTGGAAATTGTTTAGCTTCTTGCTGGAAGGTGCTCCTCCGAGTCCACATTCTGAATGTGTCATGGTTTCTGCTTGTTGTGTGCTATTCACCGTCTTGTGGAAACTGCTTCACACAGAGTCCATAGCATGATGGAGAAGTTGGCACAGTTCACAGACATTCGGTCGTGTCTTGTTGTGGGAGGGCTTTCAAACAAGGTGAGACAAGGACGTCACCTGGCTTGGCAGACTGGTTCTTCCCTTCTTCTATCCTTTCATTTCTCTTGCTTTATTTTTTTTTTCTTTCCTTTTGTAGTTTGTGCTGGACTATGGTATCCTATGCACAACACACACTCGCACACACACAGACACACTCAAAGTCCAACGAAACGTTCTGGCACAGTCATGCTTTTTTTTAGCGTATAGCTAATATGACAACAGACACACTCATCAGAAGGCATTTGCTTGCCTACTTACTACCTTGTTTTGTCCTCCTCTCCCACCTTCTGCATCTTTTCTCTGCTCTCTTCCTTAAGCCCACAGCCCCCTTCCCCTCTATTGACTGTGATTGCGGCTTCTCTTTATCCCTTTTTAGTTATTTGACGCCTTGGGCGAAGTGTGCAGTGCTTGGTGGAGGATCCGAGAGTGTGGGGCTTTTAGCGGTCTGGTGGTTGTCTGGGGTATTCAGGATGTGTACGCAGCCTGGTGCTGCGGACACAGCCAGGTACAGATCGCTCTCCCGGAGTTCGAGAGTTTTTGTTTGTCCGAGAAAAAAAAAAGTTGGACCATTTCTCGATTTATGCGTGTTCGTCCTTGTGCAGGTGCCATGCCAATCTTCTCTGTCCCGAAGGGCAAAGTATAGATTAATAATTCATGTTTTCAAAAATTTCAGAGGTGAGTCGGACACAAATTCATCATGTGAGGTAGGTAGGGGTCGAAGTCCACTATTGAAGGAATCGTCAGAGAATAAAGCAATTTGGTGTTTGATACACTAGAGCGATGGAGGGAACTGAAAGGGAACCGAAAGGGTTGCCGTCCTTCCTCAGTCCCTGTTTCTGGACAAACAGAAATGTTTCAAAATGACCCTGGGAGTCGGTGTCCTAAATGCCGAGTGTTGATTGTTGGTCTGTGTGTGATGGTTCCAACAGTGAGTGCTAATCTGATGATGAGTAAGCGATGATTTAACGAGCACCTACGTATGCCTTTCTTTCGAACTCGGCGATAGCGATTTGTGCTGCGATATTGTAGCCTCTGGCGTACTTGCATTTTGTGAGGTGACTTGCACCGTGTGTATGCGCATCAGCGTGACGATTTGTGTGTCCCAACTTGCACCGGTCCCTCTGATGCTCTTTTTCCCAATCTGGATCTCTGCTGCTGCGTGCCATTAAAATAAAACCGTAACTGGCCTGGGCGCGAAATATTTTCTTTTTGCCTGGCGCGCTCGGGTTTTCCTTCCGGCAGCAGAGTACCTGTCAGCAAGGCGGGTTGATACTCGATAGCCATGGAGGAAAGTGAAAGTGAGTGCCCTCTTTCATCCGATCCCTGTTTTGGCAATGACAGACATATTTCGAAATCGCCATGACAGTCGCTGCTTCGAATGCTGAAAGTTGGTCCTTGGTCTTTGTGCGATGATTCGAAGTGTGAGTGGTGATCGGGTGTGTGAGTGATGATTTGACGAGGGCCTCTACCATGCCTACCGTCGTAACCCGAATAGATCGCCCGGTCATTATGGCTGTATTTGGTGCAACTTTCAGTTCCGATACGGTAATAATGACCGGGCGTTCTATTCGGGTGAAGACAGTAAAGTCTGTTAAACCACCAGTCCCTTTTCCAACTATGCTGTTCCGATGCATCACTTAGCCCGGCGTGTAACTACCGTCTTCACCCGAATAGAACGCCCGGTCATTATAGCTGTATTTGGCACAACTTTCAGCCCAGATACGACGATAATTACCGGGCGTTCTATTCGGGCGAAGACGGTAGGAGCTTGACCTACTTGTCCAAACTGGCTGGAGGTGCAAGGCAATTTTTTTTTTTTTTTTTTCCCCGTGTTTGCATTGGTTCTCTTTTTTTTTTTGACGCCCAGCAGCAAACTGGGTCAGGAAATAGAGGCCCAAACCGTCATCACCCGAATAGAACGCCCGGTAATTATGGCCGTATGTGGACTGAAAGTTAAGTCAAATACAGCTATACTGACCAGGCGTTCTGTTCGGGTGAAGACGGTAGTGGTTAAACCACCACTACGTCTGAGGCTCTGTTTTCCATGGCAGATTTCTGCTGCGCGCCAAGTCCCCGCAGTCCTCGTTTTTTCCCCCTTTGTAGTCAGTGCGGCCCCCCAGAAAGGTCCAGGAGGAATGTAGATGTAAACCAGTTCCGTCGCAAAAGTTTGCCTGGGAGAGGTAGCGGTGGTTTACTCGCACGGTCAGGAAAATGTGCTAGCATGGCTGAAATGGTAGAAAAAGCTCTACCACAAACTCAAGGTACTTGATGTGCATCTGCACGAGCACACCGACATGCTGCTGCAGTGTGACCCTGTTCTTGTATGCTTCACCCATATCGAGGTAAGAGCAATGATGACTACCCAATTCAACTTGGCAAATCAGATTACCTAATTTCGTTTGCTCGTTATAAGGTCCTTAGTAGTTGATTTTTTTTTCTGTTGTTTTTGGTATCCTGTATGGTTTTCCTTGGAACAGGCTCAGGAGACAGCTCTTCGCACTCGGCCTGACATCGTTATCGCAACACCTGGAAGAATGATTGACCATCTTCATAATACTCAATCGGTGAGTGATTTACAATGCAGTGTTTTTTTTTTTTTTTTTTTTTTTTTTTAACAATGCAGTTTTTGTGCTTGCGTGTTTCCGTTTCATTTTCTGGCATATGAAATGCAATACACTCAATTCACTTTTTTCTTTTCTTTTGTTTTTAATTTGTAATTCTTCAGCTACATGCGATGTGTTATGCGTATCTTTTTCCATATGCATTAGGATTAGGTCTGGTATCAGTGTCCTTTGGGGAATCCTCCTTTTTGGGCGGGGGGGAGGGGGAGGGGGGGGGGCGGGCATGAGGAATCTGTTAAAATTGCGGCAAGAAGAGAAAACTTGTATGCATGCCCCTGCATAAGGATCGCACTCAAGACTGGAGAAGGGACAATATGGCCCAATTTTGTCCGAGGAAAAACGAACATGTTTTACTGCTGTGTTTCTTACTTACTTTTCGGTGGTGGTCCCAGCTTTTGTGTGGTGGCCGTGACTTTGCGCTTCTCTCTTTTTTCAATGGCTGACTGGTCGGCTGCCTGCTAATGAAATCCCGTGTGCCGGAGCCAAACCAAAGTCGGCCTCGTTATCGAGGACCTTCATACCTGCGCCCTTAATTCTCCCTCTAAAATTGATTAGAATAATATAATCTAATAACGCCCTCCTCCTCTGATTGAAACTCCCCCCTCTACCCCTTTCCTCTGCTGCAATGATGGCAATGACATTTGCCCCTTTCTTCAACTTCTTTTTTGTCAGTTTATCTGTGGGACATTCACCTTGTGTTTCTTTGGGTTTACAGCGTAGGGTTTTGGTGTTTGGGGTATATTTGCTCAAGTCTCTGCATTGCAGTCTGTTTGTGACTCAAACTACCGTTTGCCTGTGTGTTTACGGTTGAACCATAAGGTGATTGACATTTCATTCTGAACTCAACATGTTGTTTGTTGTGTTTGGATTGACAGGTAGGATTGGAAGACTTGGCCGTCTTGATTCTTGATGAGGCGGATCGGCTTCTTGGAATGGGGTTTACACAGGAAGTACATGAACTGGTGAGTGCCTCGTTGAAATTGTTATTCATTCATTCAACTTAATTCCTTATTTTGATGTAGAGGGATTGGAGTTCCTCTCTCTCTCTCTCTCTTTCTCTCTCTTTCTCTCTCTTTCTCTCTCTCCCTCTTCTCTCTCTCCCTCTCCTCTCTCTCTCCTCTCTCTCGTCTCTCTCTCCTCTCTGGGAGTTTTGGCTCTTGATCAGATGGATCCGCTTCTTGGAACGAGGTTCACAACGTCACACAGGATGTACATAGACTGGTCAGCGTCCAGGGGGAATTGCTGCTCGTTCAACTTGATGGTCTATTGTGGTGTGGAGGGTTTGGGTGTTCTCGCTGTTGAGGGACTGGGTTTCCTCTCTCTCTCTCTCTCTCTCTCTCTCTCTCTCTCTCTCTCTCTCTCTCTCTCTCTCTCTCTCTCTCTCTCTCTCTCTCTCTCTCTCTNCTCTCTCTCTCTCTCTCTCTCTCTCTCTCTCTCTCTCTCTCTCTCTCTCTCTCTCTCTCTCTCTCTCCCCCGTGCTGTCTCTCTCTGCTCTCTCCCCCTCGTGCTGTCGCTCTCTGCTGCACCTGATTTGGATTCATTTTTCTCTCTCTCCCCCTCGTGCTGTTGCTCTGATTTTATGCTTTGTGGTGTCTGTTGATGGTATCCTGTCTGGTGGAGATTGGCAAATCTGGAAGTGAATTATTTGGAAGATGGGGCAGAGGAGAGGAAGGGCCAGCGGCTTGATGTCTTGCTTGCTATATCATCCATCTGCTCTTGGCCGTTGGCTGTTCGTACGACCTTATTCCCTGGGACACAGCGCTCGGTCATTATAGCTGTATTTCGCGCACTGTGTTTTCGTGAAGAAGGTAATGGTTTCCATACAATGGAAGAAATGGGGTTTATGCACTGACGAGGTTGGATGATTGATAACGAGTAGGGCGGAGGTCTACGGAATTTCGGATCACGTCTTCGCTGATAACCAGGAGGTGCCAGGTGGCATTGTGTGGAGAACCATTTGCTGTACCTATTGGTGGTAAATGTTGTAAGAGTCAGCAAGGCTATAACTTTCTTATGCTACAGTCGTGTTGCATGTTGCAGCGTTTGGTGGATTTTACTTTTTTTTGTTATAAAGGTCATCATCTTTGAAGTGAATGTGTATCACCATGGTTTTCAAGTTTCGACTCCCGCGACCTCCCCCCCCACCCCCCATCACTTATACCTTCTAAAGTTGAAGTGTTTGGCACTAATTGTTGAAGTGAAATGTGCAGGTGAGCATGTGCCCAACGAAAAGGCAGACACTTCTTTTCTCGGCTACGATGACAGAACAAGTAGATGAGCTGATCAAACTGTCGCTGAACGATCCTATTCGTTTATCTGCAGACCCGAAGAGCCAGCGGCCCAAGACACTTGCCGAAGAGTAGGTTCTTCATTACTATACTTAATACCCCCCCCCCCCCCCCCCCCCCCCCCCCCCCCCCCCCCCCCCCCCCCCCCCCCCCCCCTTGCAACTGGCAAAATAATAGCTCTTCATCGTAAGACCGTACTACTTGAGGTGATTGTACAGTCAGGAGTCAGGACACCGTTCCCAGTTGTCTTTGGGGGAAGAGGGAGGGGGTGGGGGGGGGAAGGGGGAGCGAAGGCTGGACAAAGGGGTTTCTTGTCAGGGTACAGGGATTTGCCACCATTCAGCCACATGAGCTGGGTGTAGATTTAGGTCTTTTTGGGCTTAGCTATGAGTTAGTGGGCTCTATTTTGATTTCTTTTACTGTCTATTTTTTGTTTTTTTTCCCCCAAACGGGATATGTTGATTTTTTCAGGTCTTTTCGCCCGCTCCTATTTTGGAAAATCTTCACTTTCACTATGGTCACATAGTAGAGGAACAATGTGACAGACTGATAGTACTTGGAACGAGGACTTGATCTTGTTTGAGCTTGAGGATAATGTGTCATAGACACTGATAGTATTTGAAAGTCTATTAATATTAACTTGAAAGTGAGTATGAGGATGGGTGATAAACTCATGACGTATTTGAAAGGGCGAGGCTGAGAGGTTCTTTGATTCTGAGGATGGCTATGGTAATATGTTGCAACTATCGTCTTCTTACGATTGCACGGTCATTATTGCTGTATGTAGACTACAAGTTGCCCCAGGTACAACTATAATGACTGTGCATTCTAAACTGAGTGTATTTTAAAGTGTGAGCTTCTTTGAGTCTTGAGGACGGCTATGGTACAAGAGGTCGCAACTACCGTCTTCACCGGAATAGAACATGCATATGGTCATTACCACGGTACGCGCTGAAAGCTGCCGCCAATACAGCTATAACGACCGCAGGTTCTACTTGGGTGACGGTGGTAGTTCTGGATTGGTTCATAGAAGTGAAGGTCGAAGAAATTGGGCTGAATTTTCACAAGAGAGAGAGAGAGAGAGAGAGAGAGAGAGAGAGAGAGAGAGAGAGAGAGAGAGAGAGAGAGAGAGAGAGAGAGAGACTGGGGACATTAAACCACCAGTACTTCCTAGAGTCGTGCCCGTTAACGTGCCACGATTTTAGGAAACGTACGGGCTACTACAGGAGTGCCCAAATTCATCCGACTAGAAAGCGTTGGAGTAGGGTAAGCTGGGCCAAGTGCTGGTGGTTTAACATCTAGCAGCGTTGTGCGTGTCTGTGGGGTTGTGATCTTCGTCATGCAGAGTCGTGAAGATTAGGCCTAGCCAGGAGGGTGATAAGGAGGCCATCTTGTTGGCCGTCTGCACACGTTCATTGACAAAGGGGACCATCATTTTTTGGTGAGTTACACCCCGTCTTGGGATTGGCTGTTTGTTTGCAGTTCTCTTCACCAGCCCTTGTTTTTTGGAACTTCGTGCATTACGACTTTGTCCATTGTCAATTCGTCGCGGGATCTCTCTGTATGTACCGCCTGTGATTCTGGGTGTTCATTGTGGCCTTGCAGTCAGACAAAGGTACAGGCGCATCGGTTGAAGTTAATTTTTGGGCTGGCAGGGTTGAAGGCAGGAGAGCTCCATGGCAATCTCTCTCAGACTGCACGACTGGAGGTGAGTCTACCTACCAACGCCTCCCAATCACATCTCGTGTGGCCTCTCTTTGTTCTAGTTCTCTATTCTTAAAAGTGTTTATTTTGGTCTAGCTCTGTTCTTAGAGTAGCTTTTTTTTTTTTTTTTTTTTTTTTTTCCCCTTGGCACCTGCTGCCTTTGTCAAAAGTAATCAACTGTTGGCCCAGGCTGGGGTAATTTAGGTGAAGTGCATGGTTTTAATCGATGTCGATGTCGATATCTAGCGAGGAGTAATATGCGAATTAGAGCTTCAGTGGTAAATTGTCCTCTTCAATCTCTCTTCTGTTCCCCTCGTGCTCTCTTTCTCTCTCTCTTTTTTCTTGCTCTCTCCCTCTCTCTCTCTCTCTCTCATTCGCTCCCTTTCTCTCTTTTCTCTGCTCTCTGTCCCTCTCTCTCTTTCTGTTTTCTGCCCATATGCGCAGGCAGGCTGCTTAACTTTGCTATAGTTGAATAGGTATGCTGCAGTCCTATTTAAAAATGCGCACCCCAAATGTCAAAAGACTCAAAGCTCGTTGGAACAGAAATGAAAAATTTAAAACTGTCATCGTGCGTCTCCTCTTCTCCGTGCCATTTTCTGCCGATGATTCAAGCTAGTTGAAGGGTTATGTCCCTGTACCCTTGTCATCGCTCTCTACCCAACTCCCACCCCTGCTCCAGCTCCTCCCTTCTGGTCCTCTCCTGCCACCACGATGCAGGTGGATTGGAAATTGGAAAATACTACAGGTCAATTGGGTTCTCTCTTTGCACAAGTGATCAGGCGTGCGCTTCCAGTATCTGGCATTTCGCGAGAACTGATTAAACCGCCTCTGGCCCGCCCGATCCCCGGGTGGCACACAGGTATACACAGAGTCATGGGCAGCTCTGGCCTAGGAGGGGAGAGGGGTGCTGAGAGGGGTGCGCGGAGTTTTAAGTGTCCTCGCTTTGGCGATCAGGAACCCCCACCTCCTGTGGCAAAAAAAAGCGTTAAGAGTAGGGTAAGCAGGGGTGTGTTAAGGAAAGAATGCCAGGGGGATGAAAATATAACTGTCCTTTCCAGTATACAAGAAGTAATTTGTAATTAAGTATGAAACCCCAATTGCATGCAATTTCCTGTCCCTGCTGTGACCGGCCTAAGGCCGTCGAGTTATTTTTCTTGACAAAGATATTGGTTATGTTTGCCATTCCGGTATGTCAGGAGTGTAGAAACATTCCCCCCCCCCCCAAAAAAAAGCAAAAAAAGGAGTGTAGACAACACATTCCATAGCTGCCATAGTTCCCTTTTGTATTACGTAGGCCATGTCGGATATGCTTTTTTTTTTTTTTTTTTTTTTTTTTTGGACTGAGCTTTCATTATTGATACGTTTATCGTTCCTTTTGCCCAATGATATAAGCCCCCCTTCAGCTGGCAGCTAAGATTGACTGATGTACCCCGTTAGTGGACAACTGGACATTGATTGACCTTAGCACCACCACGAGTGGACGTTGATTGGTCTTGTTGCATGGTAATTATGAAACGGTTTTCACCTTTTAGCAGTAGCGGATGCAGTACCCAGGGTTCGATCCCTAGACCTCACCTTACCCATGTACAGTATCTGTGTAGACCCCSGGAATTGAACCTGTGACCTGTGTATTCGTAGGCAGTTGGTAGGCTTGTCGTGGGTCCATAGGCAGCAGGGGTTCGATCTGTAGGTCTATAGCGTAGGAGTCTTAGTGAGTTCCGGAAGCTTAGCTGTAGACCTTCTAGAAGGTAGGCAAGTGGGCAAGTGGTCAAGTGGTGAGGCAAGTGGTGGACTAAACCGTGCAATGTCGGTAGGATAGCGGTGAGTCCACAGTCAGTCAACGGAAGGTCCAGTCAGTCCCAGTCCGGTCCAGCAAGTACCACAGGGGGACTGTAAGCACCAAGGGCGGATGGCAAAGGGCAGACCAACGAGTTTCTGAAGTATAAATCAAGAGGCAGCGCCCAGCCATTCATTCATTCCTGCGTGAGCCATGCGGAAGCGCTGCCACAGCGACTTGTGCAAGGAGGTCTGCAGATGAGGCCGGAGGACGCAGTGGGCAAGAGAGAGGGAGTTAGTCTAGCGATAGGTCAGATGCAGCGAAAGCTGCCATAGCTGAAGTTAGTAGTGAGTGTGTGTGTGTGTTCGAGTGTTAGAGTGATGCGTGTGGGATATCCAGGGTGATCCAGTGTATGTGAACAGTGAGATGTTTGGACGCTGAAGTCGCCATAGCTAATTGAGAGTGAACTCGTATCTGAAGGCCATATCTCTGAGTTTTGAGTGGGCGCATGTCGACAGTATGCTGCGTTGCTGTTTACATGCATGAAAAGTGTGTTTGAGAACGAGTCTGATTGCAATTAGGCCTTGTTACAAAGTTTTTGATTTTTTTTTTGCATGACAATAGTGGTGGTGGTGGTGAAGCACGTGGTAGTCACTGGAACGGAGGGGCATCCAGTCCTGCAAACTGGCATGTGTTCAAACTTCAAAGCTCAAACCCTTCGATGTCAGCAGGAAGAGATGGAGGAACAGCGAATTCGTCAAAACGGACATATTTTATTTTTTGAACGAAAGTTACGAAATTGAAAATCCAAACTGCGGCCAAATTTTGATGAAATTTAGGGTACGGCATTCTGAAAACGCCCTACCCCCTCGATGTGTCGGGACTTCGCTGAAGTCCGCATGCATCTGAGGGCTCCGACGTTTTCCGGCCTGGATGTCTGTGGGCTCCGGATAAGTCCGGATACATTGAGGGGTAGGGCGTTTTCAGAATGCCATACCCTAAATTTCATCAAAAATTGGCCACAGTTTGGACTTTTAATTTCGTTCAAAAAATAAAATATGTCCGTTTTGACGAATGGCAGCGATCAGCATGCATCAACGCAGAGTACTGATTGTGCAAGATGAAGTGAATTATACGGTTATCATCATGTTCACACTGACAGATGATAGCACTGACTTGATGTAGGGATAGTTATTAAGGACTTAAGCCACCAGTCCCTCAAAAAGCCTCTTTTTTCCCTGTGCTGAATTGTGCAGCATCATGCTGATTCCTGCCAAACGAACACGTCCCGCAGCTGGCCGGAAAGCACCTGCCTTTCCCATCCTGTAGGGTGGACCTACGATTTCGCGGCTGGTTAACCGGCCCGTTGGAATAGGAAAGCTGGGAAAGGACCTTTTTCTAAAACTTAGGGTGAAAGTCTTGATATATCATTGTGAGTGACATATAAAACATTCTTCAATTGTTGGCTAGTCAAACCACTACAACAAAACAAAATAGTATACGGAAATCTTTTTTCGTGAACTGGCCACCGCGCATCTGATTGCACCAGTTTTTGAACTCGGGGTTCTGTATTTCAAAAGTTTGTGTGTGTACCCCCACTGAGCTAGGCCCGTTGGCATCAACTTGGCGACAGTAATGCACCGGACTTCAGTAGGGCAAGTATGCATGCATGTTTCCTATTGTGACATGCATCCTGTTTTTGGTACTGTCTGCTGATCTGGATGCAGTTCAGTTTTACTTCTCTGAAAGCCTACGTCTTCATCCGAATAGAACACCTAGTCATTATCGCCGTATCTGGGCTTGAAGTTGTGCCAAATACAGCTATAATGACCGGGCGTTATATTCGGGTGAAGACGGTAGTGCAATGCTGAATAGCATGGATAATTCGGAACAGCTTGGCAGTAGGCTGAGGGAAGAGCATATGCCGCGAAAATGAGAAACCAAGTAAAAAGACAAATAAACCGTGGTCTGTCATTCTCTGTGCTTTTCAGGCGCTCGAAGACTTCAGGAAACATGCTGTTGATTTTCTCATTGCGACTGATGTAGCGGCGAGGGTGAGTCTAGTCTTCCATTTGTGACCTATGTGGTGTTTTTCGTAATTCAGAATCTTGAATGCCCTTTGCTTGACGAGCAACCCTGTATTTCTTTGGATGCAGTTTGCCCCCATTCGTCCTTCTTGTGATTTCTGTTCTCTCGCTACTTACTGTTGGTGTCCCGATTTGCGTCCTCTCTTTTTTGCTGTTGCGCTGAGCTCTTCTCTACTACGGTCTGCCTGCCGGTCGTCTGTCTGTTGGTTGCTCAGTCAATTCATGAAACAAAAGAAAGCAGGAAAAGCCAAACACAGAGAAAGTAAAATGTTGCAGTTGGAAAGAAACAAGCATTAAAAGGGAAAGATCACCAGCTGAATGCTGGAGTACTTCTTCTCCTGCTGGGACAGGTCATCCCCTTCTGAAGAAGGCAAATCAAATCAATAGATGAGAATGCTGTCTGGGTGGAGGAAGCGGAATAAAATTAACGTGAAAGGTGGTGCCCTTTCGGAAAGGCAAATGGGGTATGATTCTAAGATGAAAGGTCATGCCCTTTTGTAGAAGTTGAATTAAATCAACCAATGAGTGTGCTGTATGGGTGGGGAGGGAGGGAGGGGTATAAAATTAACGTGAAAGATCGTGCCCTTTTGAAAAAGGTTTAATCAAATCAAATCAATGCATGCGCATGCTATCTGGGTAGCGGGAGGGGTATAAAGTACTATAAACTATAGAGCTAGTGCCAAAGGTCACCGCGTCCCCTTTTCAAGAAGGCAAATCAAATCAATAAGTGAGCGCATTGTTTGTGTGGAGGGAGGGGGAACCTGACGGTTCGGTCTTTTTTTTTCTTTTCTTTTTTTTTAATTTAACCAAGGCCCTTGTGCAAGGCCTCTATCCCGGTGGTGGTAAATGGTCAACTCACCCCTTCCCGAAAATGCGAGTTGGCGGATGGACATGCTCTCTGGAGGGGTGAGAGCAAACATCTCGAATATGCAAAAGCCACGGAGGGGAGTCTCCGAGAGGTGTGATCCAAATATAGAGGGAGCAAACTGCTGTTGCTTGCTGCACTTGTCCCTGTTTTGGTTGATTGATACGTTCCTTTGAAGTTTGGTTACCGGCCACAGCCGCCTTGGATTGGTGAGTTGAAGGATTACTGCGCTCATTGATTTGCATCCGGTTGATTGGTATATTTCTCCGTGCTTAGAAGGGGTCGGACATTAACTTGCTGTGACGGTACATTTCAGATGTCGATGTGGTTTTCAGTGTTTCACGGGTTTCTATGAAGTTTGGGCAAAGGCAGACTATGTTCTACGGGAGATATAAGGCTGAGGTGTGTGCGGGAGGAGGTCATGCTTATTATTAGGAGAGCCTAGGAGGAATAAATATGGCCGAGGTGTGTGCAGAACACACAGTTTTCTTGTCTCACGCACGTTGAATCTGTTCTATTTGGTGGCCTTCTTCTTATTCGTACTTGCTACTATTTGGTCAATCTGGCTGACTATATGGGGTTTGCTCTTTTTATTTTGTGTGTGTGGATGGTTGAAACGCGCAGGGATTGGACATCATTGGAGTTGAATCTGTAGTTAATTTTGATTGCCCTCGAGACATCACGCAGTAAGTTTTCAGTCTAAATGTGTAATAGCCCAAGAAAGAGGACATGCCATGCTCTGCCGAGAGTGGCACGCAACTACGTTCGATTGATGTTTCAATCGTTGAGCTATTCATAATTGCTGAGTCTTTTTTTAATCCGCGGAAGATTTTTCATCCGTGGATGAATATCGGTGAATGGTTCCGAGTGACTTCCCTTCCTTGTTGGCCGTCTTTTTTTTTTTTTTTTTTTTTTTTGAGAACATAATGCCCCATCTGTTCTGGGGGCCAGCAGTCTGGTTGCTTGGGTGCTGTTGTATGCTTATTTAACGTCATTTCCACTTCTTTGCATGTGCTATATGCAGTTGTCTTTCATTGTTCCCTTGTTCCCTTGTTTGTTGTGTGTTTTTGAAGGACTTCTCTTCATTTTGTTGCTTGAATGTTTGTTTGAGGGTTGTCGGTGTTCGCACGCTGTACTTATCTTTCCTTCTTCCCAGATGTCCCCTGTTTGCATATGTTGTGCTGGTTCTCCTTTACCTTTGTTGTTGTTTTCCAATCCTCCCCCGTGTGCATTTACTTCGTATGTGTTTGTCTTCTTGGTGGTGGTCCTCTTCTTCGTCTCTTGCCTGACAACATATCTGCCTACCCTGCCATCTTCGCTTTTTTTTTTTGTCACTCCCATTCTCTGCACGCCCGTATTTCCCCAACCTCTCTCACTAGGCCTTGCTCCACAAATTTTTTGATCTTGTTTTTCTGAAATGTCTGTTGTTTCCCATGTCCAAAGGTACGTTCACCGGGTTGGACGGACAGCACGAGCTGGGAGGAAAGGTTGCGCCGTGACGTTCGTTACAGAGAAAGAACGAGCTCTCTTGAAATCCATGGTACGTGCGTACAGTAACTGTGTCCGTTCCCCCAGTATGCTATGCTATGCTATGCTATGCTTCGAAACCGCAGATAGGGGTGAGCTATTGTGACGGAGCTTGCTGCCACCAGGGAGGAGGGGGAGCTGCAGAAAACTTCAGAAAGGACGTTCGTTGCTCTTGGTTTGCTGCTGCACGCTCTTCCAGCCATTGTTTCTATCAGACGAAATACGGATGCTCGGCATGTGCATCTTGTGTTGTTAGGTGAAAACTGAAATGTACGACGCACACGTGTTATATGTGTGTGGAGGAGTCAAAAAAGGGGGCAACCATAGAGATTTGCTGGTTGTGTACTCGAACGGAAAAGGTGTCTTTTTGGCCGTCATGGTGTCCTTTAGCGCATAGCAGTGATAGGTATGTGACAATGTATATTGTTAAGCTCTGTCCATCGCTCCCTTGTGTTTGTGAAAATGGGGTTGCTTCCACCATTTTTCTGCTGCCAACCAATTCGCTGGTTTCGTGGGTCGAAAAGTGTTGTCGGCCCTCTTGCTGTCTTGTTCTTTTCTTCCTCTGTTTCACAAAGTTCCGTCTTTTAGTGGATATCGGCGATCGGTCTGTGAGAATGAGAAATGCATGGTCTTCTGCGGTGCCCGTTCTTCCTTCATGTTAGCCTTCAACCGGCATGGCATTTGTCAACGAGTTGGGCCAGCCGACTTGTCAGTTGTGTACTGAGAGTGCTCAGCTACGTCTTCGATGTCGCCACTCATCTCATCCTTACACTGTGTGTCCTCTCTGACGGCAAGGACGGCCTGACTCCTGAGCCTCCTGTTATCCTTCCCTATGGTTTCGTCCGTCTTCATTCCATATTCCTTGCTTTCCCTTTGTCTTTGCTTGCCCTTTGTCTTTCTTGTGTTGTTTTCTTTCGATCTTTTTCTCTCTTTATCGCCTCTCCGCTTACGCAGGCTCTTTTGCACAGCGTGCAAGTGGGCCGCTATGGCACACGAGGATGTGGGCATTCCACACTCAATAGCTCAACGGCGGGCGGCGCCCTGGCTAGTGAGAGGTGCAGTAACAACCACAGCCAAATCAAGAAAAATAGAAGAGAAGCCACAAACAAGCCAAAGGAAAGAAAAGGAAGAACTGCACAGGAAAGTGCAAAGGAACAGTTTCCGTGTGCTTCATTGTGTCTTGCTATTCGCTCCGTTTTTCTTTCCCGCAAAAGCGCTCTCTCTTAGTTGATAGATATGCTGCAATCACAGGCTCGAAGAGCAAGACGTGAGATTTTTGGTTCGTATTTCGATTTCGGGTTTTTTGCCTCGCCGTCGATTATGAATTCCTTGCAAGTCTTTCACAGTTTCACTCCTCGAATACAATTGTATTTTACACCAGGCCACATATACTGTCAAGCATCGGCGATCCCCCTTTTCATTTGTTTGTTAACACGGGGTCCCAACCATCTTTTTTCAGCTGCCAATCAAGTAATCATTCTCAGAATCTCAGTGGTATGGTTTTTGAACCTTTCTCCATGCATTCTTGCCGGACAGCCCTTGACGTGTGTGTGTTGATTTTGAAGCTGAAGGATTTGGTGTCCCTCGGCCGGCAATACTGATAAGCACTGAGATAATTTGTTTGTGTGGGTGGTCGCTTTGTTAACCCTGTGGTCTTTTTGGCAGGCTAAACGGGCAGGAAGTCAGCTGAAGAGCAGAGTTGTGCCCCCCTTGACTGTTGCAAAATGCAGGCAGAAAATAGAGAACATGGAGACGGACATTGTGTCTATATTACAGGAAGAGACGTACGTCCCTATCCGAATGCGGTTTGCTGTCCTCATCGCTCCCTCCTTCAACAATTGTGAGAGATGTTTCTGTTTATGTCCCCTCTGCTTCCTCAAAAGTAGTCAAGCTGTAGAGCTGGATTTGCTTCTCTTTCACTACCTTTTTCCCCCGAATAAAACATAATGCAATCAGACTCGCTTTCAAACACACTTTTCACACATGTAAACAGTAACGCAGCATACTGGCGACATGCGCCCACTCAAAACTCAGAGATATGGTTTTCAGATACGCATTTCACTCTCAATTGGCTATGGCGACTTCAGCGCCCAAACATCTTACTGTTCACATAYACTGGATCACCCTGGATATCCCACACGCATCACTCTAACACWYGAGCACACACACACACTCACTACTAACTACAGCTATGGCAGCTATGGCTGCCTCTAACCTATCGCTATGCTAACTCCTCCTCTCTTGCCCACTGCGTCCTCCGGGCTCATCTGCAGACCTCCTTGCACAAGTCGCTGTGGCAGTGCTTCTGCATGGCTCACGCAGGAATGAATGAATGGCTGGGCGCTGCCTCTTGATTTATACTTCAGAAATTCGTTGGTCTGCCCTTTGCCATTGGCCCTTGGTGCTCACAGTCCCCCTGTGGTACTTGCTGGACTGGACTGGGACTCTCTAGACCCTTCTSCTGACTGTAGGCAGTCGTACCGTCGACTCAGTGCAGTTGCACTGAGGTCCTACCTGTTGACCTTGCCACTTGTCTTCGTCTGAAAACGTGGGCCTACCTTAGACTCACCACTTGACCACTTGCCGACCTTCTAGAAGGACTAAAGCTAGGCCTCTGGACTCTACTTGGACTCCTACCTTACAGGTCTACAGTTCGAATCTCCCTACAGCCTACAACCTACGGCGACCTACTTACCACTGGCTATCGTGCAGGTCATGGGTTCAACTCCAGGGAACTGTGCAGATACTGTACACAGGTAAGCTGAGGTCAAAGGATCGACCCCTGGGATCTGCATCAGCTACTGCCAAAGGTGAAAACTGTTTCAATAAGGTTGTTGTAGCTGTATTTGGGTGGCATCTTTCACTTTAAATGCAGCGATAATGACCGTAGGTTGTATTCGGGGGAAGAAGTTTAATATTAGAAATCTGTGGAGCAGCAATGCGACCTTATCTAGGCAGTCTGTCTTGCACGTACACTTTCCCTAGTGTTTGTTTGCTCAAAAGTCTTAGACCGTCACCACCACCTTGGGAGCTGAACTGCTCTCCCCAATGCGCTGTTGGTGGTCTGGAGGTAATATGCAAGCCTATTGTGCACCTCTCGGGAAAAAGAGGGAAAGGGAACCCAGGCAGTGGTGCATGTTCTGCATCAGTGTGTGGAGACAGAATCAGACTATGATTTCAGCGTTCTTATCTGAATCGGAAAGAAAATGTAAGGAAAAAACCGCGATGGATCAAAAGTATGTACATGTTTTCGGTTCAGTGGAGGACCCCAGGTAGTGGTAGTTTAAAGCTATGTATATGCTGCATGTTCCGTGTCAGTGTGAAGACAAATCGGACTATGTTTTTCGGCATTTAAATCTGAATCGGAAAGAAAATGTAAGCAGAAAACAGTGATGGATCAGAAGTATGCACAAGTTTTTAGCTCAGTGGCTTACATTCCCTATCTCTGTGCGTGTGTGTGTTGGGGGAGGGGGGTTTGTGAGTGTGAGTGAGTCTGCACACATTTGTGTGTGTACTTGTGTTTGTGTGTGTGTGTGTGTGTGTGTGTGTGTGTGTGTGTGTGGTGTGCATGTGCGCGTGTGTTATGGATTCTGGAAGGGAAGAGAAGATCCTGAGAAAGGCGGAGATGGAGGCAAACAAGGTAAGATGTACTCATTGATGTACTGCAGCTGATCGTTTCCTTCTCCTTGGACTCGACCAGTAGAGGCTACATGTGCATAGTATACTATACTAGTATTTAATCTTTTTAGTACAGAATTGGCAACATCGTAAAAGGGACGAAAACCGAGGAAGAAATCTGTGCACCTGGGCCACCAAGTGGTGCCTGCCCAAACGCCTGGATGCCCAGTCGGCCACGACCCTCGGGTTAAGGACCTGGGCAGCCACAGCGCAAAAAAATGAAAATGAAGTTTAATGAACTAAATAACATTCCGGGTCAAGCTTCACATGTCGGCGGAATTGCATGCAAAGTTGAACAACTTTTGGCTGAGGATTGTCTGTACACAGATCAGTGTTCGGCGGAATTGCATGCAAAGTTGAACAACTTTTGAACAACTTTCGGTGAGACAAGAAGGAAGAAACTATGTTCGGCGGAATTGCATGCAAAGTTGAACAACTTTTGGCTGAGGATTGTCTGTATACAGATCAGTGTCCTCTGGTCAAGCTTCACATGTCATCCTTGGTGAAACCACTCTTGGGCCTACTTGTCGACGGTATGAATGGAGCTCTCCCCTTTCTATAAGCGCTAAGGGGGCTAATGGGAGCTGCAACAAGTGATGAAGGGGCATTTACAGCCAAGGATGTAGCCCCTTCCTTCTTGTCTCAGCTTCTTGTGTATTTTACTACTATGATTTGACACCCAACTGTCTTGGCTTGTCCTGGCAGGCACAGAACATGATAGAGCACGAGGAAGAAATTTATGCACGACCGAAGAAGATTTGGTTCCAGACTGCGCGGGAGAAGGCGGCTGTCGCGGAAGCTGCGAAGGTTAGTGGTAGTAGCACCACCACTTCACCGGTCTGGTCGTGCAGCTGTCCATCTTGTCCCCATGTTGGTTTGTTTCTTCTTTTCTCATCTCTTTTAGGAAGTCTGCAGTCACAGGGGTTGGCGGGGGAGGGGGTTAACCCTTCCCCGAAAAGAGCTCAAAAGTTGAAACTTTGAAAGTGCGTTGGAAAGATCTCGAAGTATCGAAATACACATAGACATCAGCACAGATTATTGGCTACACTCTATACCTGGGCTTGTAACACTCACTCACTTGGCAGTGAGCTTTTTTCCCCTCTTCAGAGTTCTTTTTTGAAAAGAGGGGACTCAAGCCTACTGCGGTTGTGCTGGATAAATGATTCACTGTGTATGTGCTTTTTCCCAACCAGGTAGGCGCACTTGTGTGCACAGATGTCAACCATTGATCGATGCCAGAGATATCCATCCTGTGGCTACCAAGATAGGCAGCGTCATACTGGCGTGAGGAGGACAGGATCTGGTCAGCAGCAGTATAAGCTTACTATTGTATCTGCAGTGTTGCATATCCCGACGGTCGGCGGCCCTTGACTGGTCGGCTGCCGACCCGCTGACCGGTTGGCTGGTCGGCACCTACCGGTCGGAGGTCGTCGGCACCCCACACAAAAAAA